GGCAGTCGCTTAACCAACTGAGCCACCCAGGCGCCCTGCTGCTCTGATTTTTGATGGTGGTGGTTGACATCTTCTTTCTGGTTACCGCCGAGAAGGAAGAAAACGGCCTACCCGTGTGTCTGTTCCAGCAGGGCAATGTAAGGACAGGTGGTAGAAGTTTCGTAAACGCGGCACAGAGGAGAGCTAATTTCAAGACCCAAAGACCAGTACCGTACTTTTCAATGTCTTTTTTCCATGCCTCACGGGGAAGGATGGAGAGGGAGAAATAACATATTATGTGTTATAAAATGTAATGCTAAAAAAAAAAAAAAAAAATGAGAGAGGGGGAAGGAACAATGGAAGGAAAAGGCAATGTGATCTCATCTTCTCAAAACCGGGAAGGAGGCACTGTGACCACTTTACACTGCTGAGCCCCAGGGCCTGCTCCTGGTGTGCCCTGAGGCAAACACAGGAGGACGTCCCACCACCACCACCATCAGAGTGTTGGCTACGCTTGTAGATGGCTTTGCATGTCCTCAGATCCATTCAGTGTGATTTAGCAGAAATTGGTAAGCCTTGCTCAAAATAGTGAAATGATGAAAGCAAGATTATTACACTTTAGTCCGTGTAGCCAGGACTCATGATTTTTTCCTTCATTTCCAGTAAGGAAGCAAAAGAAAACTCACACGGTGATTTATTAGAGAAACAATGTCATGAAGCCAGATACCAAAGATACTGACTGCCTGAGTTAGCCACGTCTATGCCCAGAGAGCTGGTTACTGTTTAGAGAGGCGTGTGCTGGAGGGAAGGCACTAGATTTATACTCCAAAGACCTGAGTTTCCTGCCCACGGTGGCCTCTGACGCTTCAGCCTCTTCATCTGTAAAAGGGCAGTGATGCTGCCTATCTCACTGGGTGGTTGTGAGAAACTACTGAGTTAATGTACATGAAAGTCCATCTGGAGAAGATGATGTGCTAAATGAGTGCCCCCATGGCAAATATTTGAAACGCATTGAGACACAGTTTGAGTTTCTAAACATCTTGCTGTTAGGTGGGTTTGCTTCTCAGCGTAAAATGTCCATCATCATAATCTGAGAAATGCTATCACCTTGAGCATGAACAATTACTACTTCCACATTTGCTATACATTTTCTTTCTAGACAAAGAAGAGAGCGTCTATAAGGCAACGTATTGGCCAACACACTTCCATTGCCATTGTGTTCTACAGCGTTCTTGTTATTGACAAAGTACAGAACAAAGACAAAGGACTTTATACTTGCCATGTGAAGAGTGGCCCGTCATTCAAATCTGTTAACACCTCAGTGCATGTATATGGTAAGGCACTCGTGCCCTGCTTTCTATCATCGTGGATTTGGGGCGGGTTCTATAAAAAATTTTTTTTTGGCCAAGAGGTACTCTATCATGAATGATACAACTTGATTCCCCTCCTCCCGCTGCCAAAAAGCAAAGCGCATTAAGTGTTGTTTAACACTTTCGAATTAGAGCATCTTTTCCTTGCCAGCTTATTGTGGTGAATAATTCAGTTAGATCATATTAAATTCTTTTTTTAGTATTCCATATAAACAAGACAGAAAAATATGACAGATTTACCTTCATTTCTCAGGTGCTGCTGTGAGTTAGAGAAAAATGTGGTGGGATAAGTTATTTAGAATAGATGTGATTTTATCCCTGGTTTTACCCCGATGAAATCCTAATATTGTTGCTTAATGCCAATAGGCAAATTCTGTAAAGAAAATACTTAAACCTCTTTAGAATCCTTAAAAACCTTATTTATCTTCACTGTTGAAAAGAAAAACGGCGAGAGGCAGAAACCTGGAACACTCCTGGCAGTGGGCTTAGATATTCTTTTGATTTTCTCCAGTAGGGTTTTTTGTTTGTTTGTTTTTGTTTTAATCAGATCATTTGTTTTATGGTGTCTGAAGGAACTTTCTCCCAACATACTCATGTTTCAGAAGTATCTCTACTTTTCTGTGATGCGATACGGATATTTGAGATGTTCCATTCTCTGTGGCTCTGCCTTTGCTTTTCTGTTTTACTCGCAACCCTTTCATTTGAATGTACTTCACCAGTTAGAGTGCTTCTGAATTATTTTATTCAGGGCTCGATATTTGGGCTCACTGGTAGGCTTGATCAGAGTTCAGCTCTGTTTGTTTATTGCTTGCACCCTCCTTCTAGGAGGCAGGGGGTTGGGTTGGTGTTGTTCTATTTAGATAAACATGGCCTTTCCTAATCTCTTTATCATTCTCCTTTCAAAGATAAAGCATTCATCACTGTGAAGCATCGAAAACAGCACGTGCTAGAGACCACAGCTGGCAAGAGGGCCTACAGGTTATCTGTGAAAGTGAAGGCATTTCCCTCGCCAGAGGTTCTATGGTAGGACCATAATTATTTTCCTATCAGTTTAAGATATGCTTTGTAAGTAGGAAGATGCAGGAGCCCAATGACTGGAATTCCTGAAAAAATATCAAGAGAAGTTCCCCAGACGGTGGTGGAAAGCCAAGAACTGTGTTGATTTCTGGGGCTGGGAGCAAGCAGAGAGGCTGGGCTGGAGGGAAAAGGAAGCTGTCCCAGGATGGGGCAAGAGCTGAGGTGTTTTGAGTGCTCGGTTCAGTTCAGCCCTTCCCGTGCTGTGACTAAATTTCTGCATCTCTAAACCTCCCCATGATGTCAACATCCTTTGAATGGAGTATGTTGGGCAATGAGTAGGAAGCATCTTGAATATGTAACATGCTCTATTAACCCTGAAGAAGTGGGCCCTTGTAATGAGGATAATAATTCTTTTATTATCTGAAAATAATTCTTTTATATACAGCTGGGATGAAAGTTCCAGGCTTGTTGTAAAATTAAACAAACATTAATAGAGACAAGACTTATTCAGTCGCAGGGGTGGAGGAAAGGACCTACTTGAACTAATTAAGTTTTTTTTGGCTCGAAGTTTGCATATTCAGAACCTCCTGAAGCAGGTTCTTTTTGTGTTAGTACAACACCTGATGTAAAACAATGTAATCTGTTTATAATCTATAGTCATTTTGTTAAATCATTTTTAAATGCCAATATCTTTGGCTCAAACCATTACATTTTAAACAAAGAGTACAGTACAAAACCGATTAGGAAAACAGCCCGTACAATATAGAAATGGTGCCATTGTAGAATCACCTCCACCAGACCTTATTTTGCTTTCAATATCATATGATTTGCAGTTTCCTCAAATAGTTAATAGGGAGTTAAAGAGAAAATTAAACTCTGTGCTGTGCCCCTTCATGCCATCACAGTAGAAGAGAGATTTTTTTGTTTTGCTTTATAATGTGTAAAAGGTCCAGTAGTAAATTTCCTGTGGTGTACATAATTCCTTAATAGGAATTTAATCACTCCAGGCTATACATTCCCTCTTTCAAAAGGGTCTGAGAGTATCCCCATCTATTAAACAGTGCTAATTTCTTTAGTAACTAAGCAGCTAGGACCTAAAACACATGCACAATAAATCGATCCCTCTTTGAAAACACTGACTTGTTCATGAGAAATAAAGTAAATTAAGATGATATCTGCAGTCATAAAATAGAGCATAGTTATTTCAACTGCTTTGGAACCGAGACCCATTAGTGATGGGTATTTGCTTACAGGACAATGTAACGTTTGTATGGATATGAACTAACACCATTTCCCATATTAAACCTTCATATAGAACACAATAAGCTCCTAACAGATTAAAAAATGCCCAGCTAAAGAACTGTGCGATTTAATGAAATCATAGACTTGTAGCATTAAGTCTTTGAGAAACTCTAGAAAATTTGGAGAAACTGAGGCTCACACGGACAAGTCAGGTGCACAGCACAGAGTGGCAGAGCTGGGACAAGCATTCAGGCCTCCTGAATCTCAGTTCTGTATGCAACTGCGTTAGGTATCTAGGCATTGATTCTATATTTAAAGTTAAAAAGAATTTTTTTTTTTAAGTTTTGTACCTTTTGTTTGTGAGTTTTGTGCCTTAACTATTCTTCCACAGGGGAAAAATCTTGGTAATCTTGATTTTACTGTAGCTTATGAAAGGGACAACTGGTGTGACCATTTATACAACTAATAAGAACTCCACATGAGACCACAATAGGAAAGTCTATTTTTATTTTTATCTGGAGAAGTGATCTAGTTGATCTGACTTACAATGGCCCTTGTATTGCTAATGAAGCCTCATGGAAAACTGAAAAACATCTCGATGGGATCAGCCAGTGCTGCTGGGTGAATACTTAAGTCACGTGGTGACCAGCATCCTTGTGGGTACCTTAAAACCATCGCTTTTCTTTCTTCCATCAACATACTTCTTCCTCCTTGCCAATAAATGTGAAGTGTTTCTCCATTTAAAAACCACACCTGGCTTTACTGAAAAGTTAGTGTCTACATTTGTAAAATGAATGTGGAGGACCAAAGGCTTGGAGCGTATCAACTTGAGCTCACAAATGTAAATGACAGCGTTAGTGATATCTGAGAGGCCGTGTGGAATGACTTCCCAATCACACTCTTAACCACAGGTTAAAAGATGGGTTCCCTGTGACTGAGAAATCTCCTCGCTATTTGGTTCATGGCTACTCGTTAATTATCAAAGATGTTGCTGCAGAAGATGCAGGGGATTACACGATCTTGCTGGCCATCAAGCAGTCCAGTGTGTTTAAAAACCTCACCACCATTTTGATTGTAAATGGTAAGTTTGCTGTTCGTACTTTCTTCTAGTTCTGGCAGGGGTGCAGTTCAGAAAAATTTGTAAACCAAAAGTCAATAGAACAACATCAGAGAAAACACACTTTTAAGTAATGATTTTTAAAACCAGGTGCGCCCCCATCATACCGATTTCATGTCTGCTCGTTATCTTCCATAAGCAATATGATTTTTTATCATTGTAATCATGACGTACACACCATGGAATCAATTTTTACTGTTATCAAAACACTTTTATTTATTTTTTTAAAAAAGGCTGTAATGACAACAGATATGTGTTGGTTTCCCCGACATCAAAACCAAGGAGAATGCGGGCCTTCATGCAGTAGACCCAGAGAAAGTCACTGTACAGCTCTTGACTTCTGCCCTGTTCATCTCCCTTCCAGTGAAACCCCAGATCTATGAAAAGGCCGTGTCATCCTTTCCAGACCCAACTCTCTACCCCCTGGGCAGCAGACAGACCCTGACTTGTACCATTTATGGTTTACCTCAGCCTACGGTCACGTGGTTCTGGCGTGCCTGTAACCATAGTCATTCCAAAGCAAGGTAAGGACAGTTTGTTTTCTAACTTTCGAATACTTGCTATACCTGGACTCGAGATTCTTTAAGGGACACAGATGGAAGTTTGCAAATGCGATGTGCAGTTATATTTGGGGCAAAGGCTTTCCCTCCCATGGGAAAAAGTCGGCAATATCTACTTTTCTTCCTTACTCGTTTCTACCCATTTCATAATTTTTCTCTTTAGTTGATAGTTTTAGGAGCACAGGGACAGAATCAAGGTCACCTTGTGAGCCTTTTTTGAAGCTCAGTTGGAACTCCAGTCTTGTTTTCAACTGAGAACCTCCAGACTTTGGCTAATTCAGCTACAGTGGCTTTCCCATTTCTCATTTTGTGAACATTGGATATGATAGGAGATCTTCCCTGCCCTGGTGATCACTACCCGTCGTAGGTTTTGCTCATGCTCTTCCTTCGTTTCCACCCATTTGCTGCCTCCTGAGAAGTCCTTCCTTACCCTCCAAGGCTTAGCTTTGCCAACTCTTCTGACTGCCTCATTCAGATTCCTTTCTCCCTCTTCAGTAGGAACCACGCCTCATTTACACCTTGTTACTTTACTGGGTTTGCATACAGTTGCATACATTTGTTTTATCTCTAAGCCCTGAGCTGACCGAGAGCAGCTCTGTATCTTTAGGGCCCGGCACACACAGTGGTAGAGGCTTACTGTGTATTTGCTGAGTGGATACGTCCCTACCTTCTGGTCATTGTGCAGCATTTCCTTGCATCCTGTTGATGACTGAGTCCTGTTTGCTCTTTTCCCATTTTTGTTTAGTCTAGAGGAATGATGCTAAGGACAGTTCATGAGAGCTAATTTGAAGGACAGGAATAGAGTTGATAAGTGCAACAATCAGATACTATTGAGACCGCCCAAGAACAATCATTATGCCATAATATTTGCTTTGTTACTTTTAACTCCACTTGTGGAGTGTCGGGAAAGTTGCTATTTAAAAGAAAAAACAAAAACAAAAACAAAATTAGCTTGATAAAAAGTAAGACACAATTCTAGCATAAACAGAAGGGACTGTTTGGTTTTCTGGATTCTTCCTGCCATTTCAACTCTTCATCTTGTGTTGTAATCTTTTGCTTGAAGTCTTTCATTCTGATAGTGAAAGCTACTGGTGAGTCCTGGGGTTCCCGAGAAGTAGCTGTTTCCACACATGTCCCAATTTCTCATGTGAATGTCATTTCCTAAGAATAGAAATATGGAGAAATTACAAATCTTGACTATCTTCTTTACCACTGTGGATACTTAACCCAAAAGAAAGTGAGATCTACTGAGATTTTGTATGATTTTGCTAATTTAGGGGTAGGCATCCATATTTGTGGATCTATTCCCTTAAGGCCTGGATATTTGTGCTAACCTAACATGCAAATAAGTGAAAAATAACTAAATAATTTAAGCTATTTGGAGAAAAGTGTAAAGTTGAATTTTGGGGGAATAACATAGCCTTTTATAGATGTTTTTAATTTTTGTTTTGACAATAGCAAATCTAAAATTTCAATTCTAGGGACACCTGGGTGGCTCAGTCAGTTTCAGGTTTTGATCTCAGGGTTGTGAGTTTGAGCCCCTCATTGGGCTCCAAGCTGGGCATGGAACCTACTTAAAAAATAAAAAATAAATAAAAATAAAATTTCGATTCTATTTAGGGCAGAGCTAGGAACCCTCTTAGAAAATAGCAATTATGAGTGAGGGAATATAATGTTATAAAGTTGGGTTTGAATAATGCTAATAAAATATGGTTTGGGGAATGAAGTCATTTGAAGTAAAGCTTTGGAGGCATTAGCTCTCTTTTTCTGATTTCTTTGTGGTACATGGGATCCTTCTCCTGTGTCACAGAGTAAGTTTGCCAAGGTCTGGAAAGATGTCTAATTCCTCTTCTCTCAAGACTCAGAGCAGTGCCTCAGATCTTCAGTAAATGTTTGTTAACCATCTGACTTATTCTCTGATCAAGGCATTTTTTTTTAACCAACCACAAGACAGATCAGAAATGAAAGCTTTAACTTTTTCAGTGATGCTTCATTAAAACAATATATGTTGTTGCTTGAAATTATCTGCTACAAAATGTGCATATCCATAAGAAGTTGTTTTGTTGTTTTTTTTTTCCTAAGTCAACAGACCAAGTAGCTTACGTGTGTCAGGCCCGAATTTGGTGCTTGGTGGTTAAATCAGTACGTTTAACTTAGAAATAGTTCAGAAAGATATACAGGACCTTTGTGAACTAGGAAAATAGAATAATTCTACTTCACCCTGTCAGAGAGATAGGAGCTAAAATTGACAGAGAAATGGAGCCTTCTTTAATTACTAGAAGTTTTCAAATATGTCTTTATATAAATGTATTTTATATACTTAACACCTAGGTTCCATTGTAGATAGGAATTTTAGTTAGTGACATTTGAATAAAGGGGAGATCTATTGCATGAACTTTTAAAATTTTATTTTGAGTTACATAGTGACGTATTTGCACGGTGGTATCTACGCATGACTGTCAAAAGAGATTAGGTGGTAACATGTCCATATTACTCGTGAATATTTAGAATAGTTCTTGGTATTTAAATTTTAGGCTCTAGTTAAAGGACATATCTATATATGGACACAACCGAAGCATTACATTAGTTTTGAGGTTTGAATGTATTTGTTTTAAGTAGCTCAAACTTATTAATTGGTTTAATATGGCCAACTGGTTAATGTATCTAAGTTAAAGAGGTTCAGACTTAAATTGCATAGTTTTCTGGAGTCCAGTAAATACATTAAATATATTTTGAAACTGTCAGAACTGTTGCTCAACTAGTTTACCTTTGTGGAAAATAAGAACCATAAATAAAATTAACAGAAATTTCCTCCTTTAAAAAAAAACAAACAAACTGTGATACACAGCTGAGCTATGTTTTAGCTATGCTTCTGATTCACCTAGAGTTTGTTCTTATAAAACATTAAGAATAAAAGAAAGGAGGAAAAAGGTAGTTACTTTTCAACTCACATTCCTAATGAGCTGAGAGGAAATATGGCAGAATCTTTTCCCCTTTTACTTTTCTGCACATTTGGGTGGTAACGTAGCAGGAGAGCTAGAATATTTCTTTTGAATTTTTAATAGCATTAAAATAACTTGTCAATACCAAATGAAGTGGAATTTTGGATTTTTCCTCATCCTTAGCAACTAGCAGAGACTTCTAAATAGATATTCCTAAACTTGTTCCAGGTTAGTGTGGGCATAACCTAGGGAGTATGCATAAGGGTAGTTAAGCTCAGAGTACCTTTCACATGTGTGTAGTTTACAGCTTCTGTTCATATAAAATACAGATGATTACACACACTTCACAGAGACAATATGAGGTTCAAATGAGATCATGTATTTGGGAAAGGTTCGGAGTGCCATTGAAAGGCAAGGTTGTGATTACTGCTAGCAGTGGGATAAAATTGTCTAAGGCTCCAAAACTTTTAAGGAACGTGAAAAGAATTTTCTGCCTGCCATAGAGCTAGTTTCACAACAGTGACAATTTTTAACCTAACCAGCGCTTCTGAGAAATGAACACAAGTTGTGGAAAGTAAAGTGTATTTTGCTGTGCTTGAGCAATAGAACTGGAGTAGGTGTGGGCTGTAGAATTGAGGAAAACATAACACGATTTTTCAGAAGAAGAGAAATGAAGGAAACACAGCTGAGTTAGGCAAAAGCAAAAGCAAGACGACAAAGGCTGTGCAGCGGGGGACTAAAGTAACCATCCCAGTTTGTGCGGCCTGTCTCACTCACTCGTTTCCTGTCATGGGAGGAAGTGGTTCTGACCTGTGGGTTGGCAAAGGCCAGAGTGGGGCAGAGTGGGACGTGGGAGAGCTGATTCCTACTGAGGGAGTCCACAGTAGATTCTAGACCTTCACGTCCCCCTTGGATTTTGAAGCACTATGTGGAACTCCTGACCCGCCCATGCAATGAGCGGGTCTTGCTCCCATAGTCCTTTGCCACATATCTCTCTGCCACGGTGCTGGTTCTGTCTCACAGGGAATAGTGTGCATGAGGTTGCCCACTGTGTGGAGCTTGGTCTCTAAAGGAAAGAGTAACAATCTTGGACTGGAGGGAAGGGACCCCTCTTTGGGAAATGGAGGACATGGATTTGTGGGGCCCTAGCGGGAAACAGGGAATGGACAGTGTTGGCATGATGCTGGTACTCCAGATCACCAGTTACATTTTTCTCAGGAAGAGTCTGAGACGTTGCAAGATTGCTTTTACTGATGCATGCTCGAGCGCCCAGGAGCCCTGCCAGTAACTGACTGGAGAATAGCAGGCCTGGCTGGGTCCTTTGCTCCCCGAAACCAGAGGGGTGGTGAGTGGGCTGAGGCTGGGTCATCCTTCCTGATGCTCGCCGTTAACCGATTAACACGGCTCCGCTCCCCGTCTGTGCCCAGAGTCTCCCCAGTTGTTTCCGAGGTTGTCTTGTCTTCTTTCTAAAACTAAGGCCTGCTTTTCAAATGTTGAGTGTGTCCGGGTCTTTTCTCCAGGGAGGGTGAAGCGGCCTGTGGCCACTGATTACTGCAGGTTTGTTTTTAGACCGCACGCTCTTTCCATCACAGGCTGCTTTAATTCTCTGTCCCCAGCTAACTGTTGAGGTCACAAATAACACTGATAGATGATAATAGAGTGGCCTTTAGTGAAAGAGGCTGTTAAGTGTATCAAGTTCTTTGTGAAAAATCTCATTTTCTTCATTGGCTCTCTGTGATGACCAATAAAAATACACAGAGAGAAACTTCGGCTACTTCTCTTGCATTCACATTGTTCGCATCTTACAAATGCATGTTGCACATCATCAGTGTTCAACCCAAATATACTGTCACCCGTCTACTTATCGCACCAGCCGTGTGCAAAACAAAGATACACACCATTCAGCATGTATGTTTAAGGCTATAAGATCAAACATAGCTGGTCGTTACTTATTTTCTCCATACACGTACCTGCAGAATATCTTTTCCCCAGTCTCAGGGATAGAGACCTGGGAAGCAAGGA